TTGATGTGTGTAGGTGGCAGCATGTGTTATGTGTGTTTGAGGTATCAGCTTGTGTATTGTGTGTGTGGGGGTTGGCAGTGTGTTGATTAGACTGGCTGTAAGTGTTATAGTTGTCACTGTTGAGTGTTTCTGTGTGTGGGTACCTAAAAGTGGTGTGCCACTATGTGAGGGTAGCTGTAATTGGTTTATGTTACTGTGTGTAGCTGTTAGTGATGTTTGTGATTGTTTGTGGTAAGATGAGTGTTTAAAAGTGGGGAGGCCATGTTTGTTCCAGTCTCCCCTCGCAATCTACAATAAATGTAAAAATAAATAATAATGATATAATAAATAAATATGAACTCCGTTTTTGATATCCTTACTGGCACATGCACTTGCCTTGGCACCATCTAAGCACTAGTGCTCCAGTTGCATTTGGATGTGCATTAGAGTGCACCTGGGCTTATGCAGCACACCCAGTGCACACACCTATGATGGTTCATTTATTATGTACTGCATATATATTTTCAGTACAGTATTTGTTTAAGGCATCTGAAAACAGCCAGCATAGCTTGTCTTAACACATTATTTTGGTTGAGAGTAACAGATTACTTGCATTTGACATCCAACTCAAATAAAATAGTTAAATGATCTGCTTATTATGACCTGTTATTTTTTTGTCTACTTGAAGAAGCCTTGCAAGGCGAAACGTGTTGTAGATATTTTTTATTTATTTATTACCAATAAAGGAATCTTAAATATTTCTTCTACTTGGCATCCTGATTTACCATCTCAAAAAGGACTAAAGAATCCTAGGTGGGGATAATACCACCAGCGCCCTATCCATCGAGCAGTAAGCCTGTTTAAACAAATGTGAGTACATCTCCTATACTATATATCATCTGATGGTCTTATTTCTACAGTGAGCACTATATTTGCCATTTTTTATCTTCTCGGTTTGGAACCTCTATCATTGCTAAAACATCTGAAGAATTTACCTACCACATATATCCCAGAAGTGGGGATCATTCCACTTCATGCTATACACACAGGAGCTGGATATAGCTCTGGTAAATGTGAGTAAAACTGACTCTATATACATTTGATAAATATATCCTATACTATATTGTACAATTGGAGTTCTCTCTTTTATGTTTTCCATGTACTTCTGGAATTACAAGCACTCCATCTCCAAGAATCCTTGATTTTATCCAGTCTGGCTGTTCCCTTCAAAACTTTTAATCTACCATCTATATACCATTGTATTTGGGCCACACTTGTTTTACTGTATATAATATTTCTGTAATTTTTACTTTGGGATATTCCATTTTATTAAGGCGAAACCTTCTTTTCTTTTCTTCCTTTCCATTGCATATTGTGGGGTATTAAGAGGGACTCGCTTTCTGTTTGTAGGTATGCTGCCCTTTAAAATATATTATATTTTCTGTGGTCGTTCTTAGCGCTGATCCTTTTGTTACAATTTTCCATAAAATGATCTGCTTATTTTGTAAGAAAACTGATTTTGCAGGCTGCTTGTAGGGTGTTTGTATGTGGGCATAATGACCACATATAGTAAAAATTATCTGTATTACTTAAGGTGTTTTATCACAGCATGTACATTATTCCTGTAGGTTGTTGTGAGGAAGGTGGGAGTTGGGCTATCACTTATTATTATGATTATTATTATTAGTATGATTATTATTATTATTATTATTCTTTATTTATAAATCACCAACACATCCTGCAATGGTGCACACGAGTACAATTGACACAGGTATAAAGACAAAGGTACCAAAACATCTGAGACAATAACAAAATTGACAAACAAATACAGAAAGGGTTTAGGGCCCTATCCCTGTATATATATATATATATATATATATATATATATATATATATTTATAGGTGGGAAAGGAAAGATTTGCTTTTTAGAATAAATTAGTTTAATTAAGACCAATCCTCTAATTTCTCATCTTAGAGAGCACAATCAAGCAAGTAAGTATCCTAGAGAGATATTGCACAAGGATGAATATATTATACTCTGATCAGCCACAATATTACAACCACCTGCCTAATATAGTGTAGATCCACCTTGTGCTTCCAAAATAGCTTTGGTGAATCGAGGCATGGACTCTACATAACCTCTGAATGTGTCTTGTGGTATCTGGCAGAAGAACCCTTACATCCTGCAAATTGTGGGGTGGGGAATCCACGGATCCCATTTGTTATTCCGGCACATCCTACAGATGCTCAATCGGAATGAGATCTAGGGATCTGGGCAATACCTTCTCACCATACTCTTTATCATGTTCCTCGAACAATTCCTGAACAATTTTTGCACTGTGGCAGGGTGCATTATCACTGCCATCTGGGAACACCATTGCCATTAAGAGTTGTACATGATCTGTAACAATCTCTATGTAGGTGGTATGTGTCAAAGTAACATCCACAAGAATGCCAAAACCCAAAGATTCCCAGCAGAAAATTTCTTGCCTTCTTCCCATTCTGATAGCATTCTGTTATCTCTTCCCAAGGTAAACAGCAGACCAGACCAGACCAGACAACAGTCTTCCATTGCTCCATGGTCCAGTTCTGACATTCACATCCCCATTGAAAGTGTTATTGGAGGTGGATAAGGGTTCATCACGGGCACACTGTCCAATAAGCAGGAAACTGCAAGGCACTTACTATTATGGCCAGCATTATATTTCAGCAATCAGCAAGTTGAGTTACATTAGCTCTTCTGCGTAATCGGACAAGATGTGGTATTAATGAGACTTAACCAGTTGACCTTCCTTGCACCACTTTTGGTTGGTACTAACCACGGCATACCAGCAACACCCCACAAAACATGCTAGTTTGGAGATGCTCTGATGCAGTTGGCTAGCCATCACTATTTGGTCCTTGTTAAACTCACTTGGACCTTTTTGCTTGCCCAGATTTCTTGCTTCCAACACATAAAATCCAAAAACTGAATGTTCACTTACTGCCTGATATATTCCCACCCTTGATATTTGCCATTGTAAATATAAGATCAATGTTATTCACTTTACCTGAGGTTTTAAAGGGACATTATAGTCACCCCAAAACTACAGCTTAATGTAGTTGTTCCGGTGTCTACAGCCTGTTCAGAGGAAAGGCAGTGTTTACATTTCTGCCTAGGAACACTTCTAGTGACAGTCACTTAGATGGACACTAGAGGTACTTCCTGGGTCAGACACTGAACACTTCCCCCAGAGATGCATTGATCCAAGGCATCTCTATGAGGAGATACTGATTGGCACAGTGCAATACTTAACCATGCATGCTCAATAGCCTCTGAATACTTTCTTAAGGGGAAGCATTGGATTGTCTGAGAGTGTCAAATTTGATGATCTCAGCCAAGGAGGCACGGTGGAGTGGGACATGTAGCAATGAGATTGGTGCAACACTGTAAATAAGGTGAGTAAAACAATCTATATAAGGGGAGACGGACACCTAAATGTCACTTTTACAACTATAGTGTCAGGAATAGATTTTTGTATTCCTGACACTGTAGTGTTCCTTTAATGTTATGGTGGATTAGTGTAAAGTCAGTGGAATCCTAGCTTTATTGACTGATGCATCTCCTATAGATTAGCTTATTTCAGAAAGGGGGCTCTTGATATTGTATGGTATGGCAAAAAGTGGTATAGTGTTTGTACACCATAAGAAGCTCTATATACCACCATAAGGAGATATATTTCCTAAAGACTCACTATAGTCAACCTGCTTACTTCATCTCAATGAAGTGGTCTGGGTGCAGTGTCCCTGTCCTCTTAACCCTACAATGTAAAACATTGCAGCTTTTGAGAAACTGAAATGTTTAAATCCTCCTCTAGAGGCGCTTATGCTGCACTGACTTTGTCATGTGATGCAAAAGCCCCATAGGAAAGCATTGACTCAGTAATTCCCTAAGGGGAATTGTGAATGCACACAAGGCTATGAAGAGCATTGGATTAGATCATCATGGAGGAGAACATATCTCCTTTGTAACATTGCTGGGGAGGAAAGTTAAGCAGTGCCAAGGAAAAAGGTAAGTAAATATTTATATATTATATTTTTATTGCACCATGGGGAACATACTGGCAGATAACTGTGATGGAAGTCCCTTAGGCAGAAAGTGTTTTTAAGATGTTATTGTTATGATCAACCAAGAATCAAAGTTTCACAGCATAACACAAATAACATAAAAATGATATGCTATGATTTATTCATTCTACTAAGAGTGTCACCTCTGCCACAACCTGCAAAGTACATTTTAATAGGAATCAGTCATTATATTTCTATATAAATGTTATGCCAGATGGTTTTGTTTGCTATTATATGATCATATGCAGAGGTTGTTCAAGGTAAATCACTGTTATTATATTGGACATACTCTTAAGGGGAAAAAAAGTGTGCAGTACAATCAGACTGCTGAAAGTCCTTTTAAAAAATAGCTGAGCTGTTGTGCTTTATGTAACTAAAATATCTAAAGCTTTTAAAGAAGGTACAAAGGTTTGTTTATAATGTACACTAGAATATAAACAGTACTTAGTAGTAAATAAAAAAGTGAAGCATAAAAAATGGTTGTTTTTACTGAGTGCTAAAATGATCTCTCTCTCTCTCTCTCTCTCTGTCTATATATATATAAATATATATATTTGTTTTTATTACTGGCATTTATATAACGTGTCAATTAATTCCACATAGTTGTACAAATAAGGGAGAACATACAATATACACAGACAAATGCTAAAGGTAAAGAGAGCCCTGCCGTGAGCTGAGATCTGTGAAGAATCGCCCTCCCTGCATTCGGTACGTTTCCTCCCTGCTACTTTGTTCGTGGAATCCACTATCTTTTATTGTGGGTTGCTCGGTACTTTTATTCATTAGAATCCCTAGTTCAGTAAAATAGCTATTTTAACGAACGATGACCACCCTGGGTAGAAATTAGAATTTAGAATCCTGTGTTATTACATGAAACCACAAGCTAATTGAGTGCTCCTGGGTGGGCGCCATTACGGGATACAAACACGTGGCGAGAACGATGGATGGCGGCCATCTTAAACTCCAGAACGGGGAGCGTTGAGCACCTGGAACTATTTTCAGTATGGCTCTCCAGAAATTCCCTGTCCCCCATGGAAGTCCCGTCTGACCTATCTCCACGAACTGTACACGAATGGTGTTTGGGAGTTTCAATCTACCGAACGAGGGAAGCACTCTCATGTAACCAGCTACATTACATCTATGGGGGTTTTCGTGCAATTTTCATCAGAACGGAGTCCGGCTCGCACCACTGATTTCATGGAACTCTGAGTCGGCTGCAACCTCGTGGCGAGCCGGTCAAACTTCCACATGGTATAACTCCAAAACTACCAAACGGATTCTCACGAAATTTGGATATGTTGCTCACATCACCCTCAGCTACTTATATTGATATGTTATGCATAAAGTATGTTTCTAATAATTGTGAAAATTGTAACTTTTCTGGCCACTAGATAATTGAGTTTAATAAGTTGCTCAAACCCAATTATCTAGCCTGGCCCAGAGGAGGAGTTATGTACTGTATAAATTGTGTGCCCTTTTTCTCAGTAAATCAGTCTTGTTCCAGCATTAAGCTTTGGCTCATGTGTGGATTATTTGGCAATACCAGCGATTTATTACTCTGTGAATTACTTGGCTATTTTATTTTATGGGAAGAAGGGAATGCTTGACGGAGTAAAGGATTGTACCGTCAAAAGATCTAACCATTGAACTTACAATCTAACGTATGTAGTGGGGATTTGAGAAAAGAGGTAGCAGGGGGAATTTGGAAGTGATGGCTAAAGGAAGTTAAATGAGAGTAAAAACTACTGGTAAAATGGAAAGGGAGGGGGGTGAAACCGACGTCCGAACTGCATTGGACATGCTGTAATTTCTCTCCGAGACAACTTTAAACTCAATCCAATTACATTGGGACAAAAACCCATAATGGGACACCCCAAGAAATCTCTGGCCTCACAGCAAGCATCTGGGAAGCATCCCCCAGGCAAATCTGGAGTCTGATTAAATTTTTTCGTGATAACGTAGACCATCAACAAGGCGCAATAGGCCCCAACATGGCGCCGAGTCATCTTAGGATGGCTCAGCACACTTGTGCCAAGAGGGCTCTGCAGGCTCAGTGTATACCCCAGACACTGAGATCAGGGATGCTCTGCGATACCTATCCTCAAAAAGCGACATGGCAAACATGTTGGGGAAACAGGAATTTTCCTTCCAAGCGAAACTGGATGCTATTGGCGTGGATATCCGCCATGTTGGGGACAGAGTCACTTCTCTGGAAGACAACCGTGATGTGCTCTTTACTCAGATGCAACAGTTGCAAGCTGAAGTTACTTCCCATACTTACCTCCTCTCCGGGATACAACGTACAATGGATGACATCAATAACCTCCGCCCCCGCAACATCTTGCGGATCAAAGGCCTTCCAGAAGCAGATCCACTCAACGCTAAGGGAGCTCTTCAATCTCCTCCTCCATAGGCCACCGGAGGCTCAGGTACTGTTTGACTTTACACAGGGCACTGAAACCCAGGCTACATTATTTCTCCATTAAAAAGGATATATTGAGAGCATTACGCCAAACATCTCAGCTGTTGTTATTCCATAATGCTCCCCTACAGATTTATCCTGACCTCTCTTGGGCAAAGCTTCAAGCCAGGAGAGTACTAAGACCCATTACCGATCAACTCCGCTCCCGCAACGTAAAATAGAGATGGGGATTTCCTTTTGTCCTAATAGCGACCTACAACAGATCTTCCCATACCCTATCCTCCTATCAAAATGTTTCACCAGGGCATTGCACTTACACGATATCAATATACCTGATTGGTTTGGAGCAACACAGTCAGCCCAGACCACCCAAATGCCACAGCGCCAAAGGTGGCAAACTCCATCTGAACGGAGAAGAAATAACCATGGTGGGACCAACAGGGAGACAGGGAAAACTGCTTCTATCCCGACGACCGCTTCTGCTCATCCATCTGCGGACCGTCCCTCCTAGACTGGGTCATACAGATGACTGGGTTACCTCCTTTCTGACTGTCATATTAAATGCTGTCCAACTCTCCAATACATTGGGACTTTTCTTTTAAAAATTTGCCTTATTGTCTTCACAACGTCCCTCCAGAACCGGACAATTCACATCCTCCAATTACCGGATAGTCTAGCCCAGTCTGTCGCTTCTCAATCACAACTGGCTGTTGGATGTCACAGGACTGCTAACTGTGGGACACTGTAATACCTACATGGACTAGGATCTCTCTCTCTCCTAGAGACTGGAGATCTACAGACAGTACGGGCTGGCTGGGGAATGTGAGAAATACACCACAAGTGCAGCAGGAGAATGTAAGGCTCTATGGAGCCAATTATGTTTTTTTTCTCTGTCTATTGCCATTCAATTCTACCCCGGCAATGTACCCACTTTCAATTTCTCCTCTTGGTTAGCCATCTCGGTCCTATGATGATCCTTTTCCCCCAACATTACTCCCACGTTCCACCGCTCACATTGTGCATTGTATTTATGCTGTAAACCGCACCACCATTAGACAAGGGAGTTCTGTGAGGTTTATTTTATGCATGAGGAGGTGTACAGGTTTGTTCAACAAATGTAGGGAAGCGGAGGCCGGTTGGATCTCGGGCTCGCAGCGATTTTAGGGCTATGCTCGGAATATAGCAGATTCTTAAATACAAGGCCATCAGCCTATCCCGCTCCTAGTGTACACTACCTTAGTAACATAATCGAGAGGGGGAACTCAGTCCAAACCTTGAGAGTGAGTCACTACACCTGCATACTCATGTGGGATGTGAAACACGTTCCACCGTTTTCTTATCTTGTGAGGCTCAAATGGATCTTCGGAAAAAGCATACAAAAACCTAAAAAAAAAATCCTTCTTTTTATATGCTAGTTACACAGTCCAGGGTTTTCCATAAACTTTCACGGATTGAAGCTCCTTTACAATAAAACTTCTTGACACGGATTGAAGCTCCTTTACAACCAAACTTCTTGACAATTTAGCATCCCTCCACAACGTAAGCTAAATAACTCTACGTACTTGCGGTGTTCTAAAACTCCCACGTGGTACTCCCCCCGCGACTTAGGATAGACACTGGTGAAAATGTATACATTTTGATATACCGTAGTGACACCAAGAAAGGTTACACTACACTTATTTGTTTTTTATACTCAAGTATATACGGTATTTACAGAAGGCTGACAGTGAAATTAAGTGTAAGTCGAGTTTTTCAGCACATTTTTTGTGCTGAAAAACCCCAGCTCGACTTATACTCGAGTCAATGTCTGTATTATGGCAACTTACATTGCCATAATACAGACAAGGACCACCGGGCTCATTACAAGCCCGGCGGTCCTGTTGGGGGCTGGCAGAGAGCTGTAACTTACCTTTCCTGCAGCTCCTGTCAGCATCCTTCTCTCCTCCGGTCCAGTCAGCTCCCTTCTCCTCCACTGTAAGTCTCGCAAGAGCCGCGGGGTCAGAGTGTTGACACAGGTTACCGTGGCAACGCTCCGCGCGGCACTCACACCACATAGCCAAATTGCAACAACGTCAAAGCCTACTCCCCTCCATTTATGCAGAAAAGGCCTTTGACAGGGTGGATTGGTCGCTCCTGCTAAACACTCTTCGAGCTGACATGGATGCACTGGATGGCAGCTTTATACTCCAACCCCAGTGCAAAAATCAGAATAAACGGTCAATTATCAAAGCCTGTCAACATTAGGAACGGCACGAGACAGAGGTGCCCCCTTTTATTAATTCTCACACTAGAACCCCTACTTCGGGGCATTAGAGATAACCCTCATATTAGGGGAGTGAGGGTGGGGGAACAGGACTTTAAAATAGTCACGCTTGCCAATGATCTCCTATTTTCTATGTCAGAGCCCACTATAGTAAATGAGCTAGACCTTTACAAGTGGATTTCCAACTTTCAAGTGAACTTTTTACGAAAAGTGAGATACTGCCATTGATTATACACCCGCACACAAGTCTAGCCATAAAGGAAGAATTCCGTTTCCCTTTGGCAAGTATCTAGCGGTCAATCTACCATACGATTTGTCCGTACTGTACAAACTAAATTTCCCCCCTTTGCTCAAAGCCATTACTGCTGACCCAAAGAGGTGGAACAAACCCCTATTTAGTTGGCTCAGCTGCACAAATATAGTCAAAATAAACACCCTACCTAAAATATTATTTCTCCTAGAGACCCTACCCATTACTATACCCAAAATGTTTTAAAAGTATAAAGTGCGTGTTAAGCACATTTTAAGCCTCTTAAAGGTACAGTACAGCTGAAGTTGTTTGAAGGACTAATTACCTTCTAACCAATATAATGTGAGAGGTGGATACCTCTCCCCTATATAATTGCAGTCTACCTCTACCTCATTGGTGTCAACTTCAGTGTGCCTATCCTGCCTTATCTGATTTATCCGGTATCTGCCGGTTTTATCGTCTCTGAACCTGTGCCGTCTGAACTGAACCCTGTTTTTTTCAACTACGAATTTGGTTTTCCCTTGGTACCTCGCCTCGGCTGATTCCTGCCTCCTGGACTCCTCCCATCAAATAAGTGACAGACGTAACAGGTTCAATGATATTAAGGTCAGGAGACTATGATCGCCACTCCAGACAGGGATGTATCTACAATGAGGCAAACAAGGCATTTGCCTTGGGTAGCAATTTCCAGGGGGTGGCAAAAAATTCTGCCCACAAATGCCCAGGCAAATACCTTGTTTGCCTTGTTTTATGGGAGCCCAAGAGCTGGCCGGCTGGCCACCTTTGCCATGCTGGAAAGTCCAAGAGTGTCCCATGCGAAGCCTTCATGCAGAAGAATGCAAATTGTCTTTCAGTATTTTCTGATAACATGCTGCATTCATCTTGCCTTCAATTTTCACAAGATTCCTGTGTCTTTAGAGCTCACACATCCCCAAAACATCAGTGAGGCACTACCATGCTTCATGGTATTCTTTTCACTATGGCCCTTGTTTACCCCTCTCCAAACATAGTGCTTATGTTTGTGACCATAAAGCTCTATTTTTGTCTCGTCTCTCCAAATCACAGTGTGCTAGATGCTGTGAGACATGTCAAGGTCTTGTCGGGCATATTGTATCGGGCTTTTTTGTAGCATTGGTGCAGTAAAGACCTCTTTCAGGCAACTCGACCATACAGCTAATTTGTGTTCAAGTATCATCGTATTGTGCTCC